ACCCGGTCTTTAGGAGTGTTGGCATTAGATTCAGGGAGCCCCTGAATAACGAGACATTGGTCTCGTGCGATATCGTTCGTATATTTTGTTGTTGTATTTCTCTCTGGTGGATGTGGTACTTTAGGGGTATTAGATGGCGGTGCTGGAACACATGCTATGTCGCGGTTTTGATGATCGACACCAGATTTTGTGGATTCTAGACGTTGCAGTAGGTTGGGCGAGGAACTTGACGAAAATGTGATTAAACTCACGTCGTTCGGCGGAGCCTCACAGCGCAAGTGGTTAGAGCGTTGGCTGTGCTAAGGCTTTTCCCTTACTGCGTGGGTTCGACTTCCACAAAGGCGCCGCGTTTTCCACATTTGGGTCAATATGAAGTATTTTTGGTTCTTTAACGACACCTTGTTTGTAAAAAGTTTCGTATTTCAGACGCTGTATTTAGTCGATGAAACACAAATTATGCACGGCAGTGCAATAGGTAGAAGTGGTTGTTGCCGAAAGCATAAACACTTCATAAACATCGCAAGTTCTGTAAACAACTTTGCGAAGTTCAGGCTTGATAATTCATTTGCATTACGGCTCATAAGTAAACCTTTGCTAAACCCTTTTTGAAAAAGCCTTTTTTGAACTGAACGATTTCGGCTCACGCCTATACAGTTTATTTGGGAAGTAGTGAGTATCCCCACAAAAGAATGCTTCTGAAATTAGGAAAGGGCATTCATACAAAAAACGTCCATATTGCAAAAATGCCTTGATAATTTGTTAGGAGATAATGCAGATTTACATTGCTCTGCTTCATGTCGACTTACTGTAAAACACAAAATGCAAAAATGCATATATTAAAGGATCAATTCAACTACAACTCAAAATGTCTTTACGTGCACAAAGAGCTGCAACTCTTGATGAATGTATAATAGCTGGCTTCTATGCACGCAATACCTCAATATCTGCGTATATTGAATTAAAAATTATTAAAAATATGCCTGTTTCTAAAAAATAAGTGAGAAACTTGTAAGAGTGCCCCTCCTATATATTTCGGTTCTCCAATGACCACAAGTATGACGAGGAGTTGCATATCAACTGGGAACAAACGGAGACTTTATTTAATGATTTTAAATCGCTGCGTTTGGTATTGTCTTTTTTGCTGGCTAAAAACCGAAAACACATTGTGAGGTGTAGAATAGAGTAGGAAATTTAAGATCATGATTCTTAAGTAAGTCCAGCTTTTGCATCCAGGCCAAGCCTCAGCTGTGGATTTATTAAATCGCCACTATCATGTCTATGCTGACAGTGATACAATGCGCGTCACATTAGTTTGGATACCTGCCAAACAAAAGGAAAGTGCCAGGCTGTTTGTGTCCTTTATGTGATATCATGTTGTTTGAAAAATAAAAGCGGATTGCGGAGACAGACATTGACATATGTCGACAAGGTTCATGCAAGTTTACTTGGCGGCAGTTCAAAAGGTTCTTTAAATCAGCTGAATCTGTCAAACATACACAAATAAAATAACTTGGGTTGAACAGACTTCAGGATAGCAAACCGAGAGACCTGAGCACTCAGTAATTGCATATATTCGCAGTTTTCCCTAAGCCGTCGCAAAGGGTTAGTGAGTCTGATTAAATTAGAATCTTCGGGAGCTTATTTTCAAATATTTATTTTCGGGCGCGTAACTGATCACATGCTGCAAAAGGGCATGGCAAGTGTTCCATAAAATGTATGGGCAAATTAATGGTCAACATCATGCAAACACATTGCGGTTGAGTATTTTTGACGTCTTATATGGCATTATTAATAGTTGGTATCAATTATATCGTAAAAGGATGTCGTCGGCTGTAACAGATTACATCGACGCCAGAGCTTTACGACGGAACAAAGTTAGGAGAAATTTAACGGTCAAAATATCCTTACGTTCACAAAAAGCTGCATCCGTTGATGAGTGCATAACAGCTCGCTATTGGACATGACATTTAAATATCAAACGTATGCTTGTTTCTGAAAAAAAGTGAGAAACTTGTGAAAGTCCCCCTCATTTATATGTGGATTCTCAAATGACCACGAGTATAAGGAGGATTTCCACATCTAGTGAGAAAAAACATAAAGTTTGTTTATTGATTTTAAGTTGCTGGGTTTTGGTATTGTCTTTTTTACTGGCGATAAACAAAAAACAAATAGCGAGGTATGGAAAGGACTTAGAAATTTACGATCAAGTAAGTAAGTTCAGTTTTTGCATTCAGGCCAAGCCTCAGTCGTAGATTTATCAAATCGCCCCTATCATGTCCAAGCTGACTGTGATATAATGTGTGTCACATCATTTTAATGTGACCAATTTTTCTATTTTGTCTGCTTTATGTGTAAATGGCACTCACTATTCAAACCTCTCCCTGCTCGTAGCAAAAACATGTTTGTTATTCCAGACCCCATTGCATACCTTTATTTATTTAAAATTTGGTTTGCTAGTTTTTACTCTGTTTCTTCCCGCCTTCTTGCCTACCTTTAAATCGGACGACTTTAACTCGGTCTACGATAATACTTGCCAAATTTCCCTTCGTTTACTCGTTCTGTAAGAAACACAGTTTGTTTGGAATGCACGCTATATGCTAAGTGTCTAAATTGAAATGAAAGCGTCAAAGTGGTAACAACCATTGACGACATCAACTAGGCAAAGCTTTGCGGTATAATATTGATCACGCGAGATGTTATATCACTTTCTGTATACGTGCCATACACCGAGACAAATAATCACGTCGGCGAATTCGTATCAACTTATCAACCAGAAATAGGAATTCTGAAGAACGCTCGAAAAACCTTTTACTACGATTTTCATTATATTCGAAGTTTATTTTAACAACGAACTCCATAGAAAAGTAGGCAGAGTTGCCATAGGCTCGCCTCTTACACATCTCTCTGCCGATGTCTTAATGAACAGGCTGGGGAGATTTCAAATTAGGGATCTGATCGATGCGCTTAAATATTACAGCTACTCAGATTGGAAAAGTTTAGAGATCCGGGAAGATTATAAGAAGAAGAAAATTGGCTCTCCGGAACAGGTTTATTTAACTGCTGACGTTTCAAAGAGCTGCTACTACGTTTATGATATCTTTCCGACTGCTACCAGAGAAACTAACTTTACCGCCATCTCAATCGATGTAAATCAAGCACACCCGTCGATCCACTTTACGTGCGGATAGAAACAGCCTGTGTGATCGCTTTCTCATGTTTTTTTCTAAACAGGAGACCTGAAAGTAGCGTCTTAAGGAGCGTTTGTCACAATCAAACCTGATCTGGACAAGACGCAAACTTTGTTAGTCTAAACAGCCTCAAAAAAAAACAAAATCACGTTCAGTGCTTCACACAGAGAGCTAAAAAAATGAGCTCAACAAACAAAATCAAGGAGAAGCATAGAAAAATTCTGGACTTTTTCCGCAAAGGAGGTCATCCTTTCAGGTGTTCTACAAAGAGCGTCGTCGAACGGCTGACAAAACCCTCACATTGACTGCTGAAAAAGGTTCCTACAAACCCCTTTTCAAGGCGACTCTGCGAATTAACTCCTAAGTGGATGCCTTGTTCTAGCTGTTTGTGGAATCTTCTTAGCAACAGGTGTTTGAACATTAATCTCTGCTAACCCTATTTTACGCAGAGGTCAGAGCACGTTGGCATCTTGGTCCCCTAATTGTACAAGTAGGCTTTCAGTTGCTTCTGTAGAACGGGTGATATTTGTCGCAGAAATCGGAGCCTTCCCAAAGGAATACGAGGTTGCCTTCCACACATGACTGGTAAAAGGCGAAGCTAGGTGCATAAACAGCATCAATCGTACGCATGCAGTTAATTTAGGGCATTGCGGTGGACCCGACAATACATTTTTGT